TCTTACCTGGAAAGCTCTATATGCAAAATGTCACATCTACTATCCTTCCTCTACCTTCACTGAAAATCTCAAGTCGATATCTTAAGTCGTTTAGGAGGAGATCTCAGGACAAGCTGACCCTCTAAAAATCAGTAAATCGTCCATATTTCACGACCGGAAGTGACGACGTACTTACGAAAAATTTCCGACAAGGTTCAGATTAATATCTATCAGATCTGAAAATTTGGTGAGAATCGGTCCAGCCGTTTCTGAGAAATCGCGTGCACAAAATCGGTAAGAAAAATAATAATAATAATAATAATAACTAGATGAGATCTCGTTGCGAGCAACGAGTGGGTCTTCCGTCCAATTCTTGATGAGATGAGATAAGATTTTGATTGCGATTTTCATTCTAAAATAATGATTTACCACAATCTGTAAAAAGACATTGAACATTCAAGTCTCTAAAAAATCGGCCTTTTGCCCCTAATGGCCCCTAATTTTAGGAATGGGCCCTCTTTTTTTTATATCATCTTAAACCTCTTAAGATTTTGAAGATTTTTTGTTCAACAACTGTTCAGAAATTCTTATTCGTTTTTGAGCTATTAGCAAAAAATATAATTAGGGGTCAATCCTTCAACTCCCTAATGGGGACGTTAAGCAAAAAATGAAAGGTTGCATATTGTTCAGAACATTATTTTGAACATCTTTTGTTCAATATTGCTAATCAAAATATTTCTCCCTTTCGAGATAAAAAGCATCAAAATTTAGCTTTCTGGCCCCTTGTGGCCCCTAATTATGTACCATACGACATGGAAATCATAATATATAGTTGTAGATGGTTGAGATGAACATCTTTGCTTCAGTAATGTATCACAAAATATTAACTGATAAAGAGTTATCGATTGAAGACTTTTGCCCCCTCTCGGCCCCTAATTCGAGTGTGCAGCCCCTTTTTCTGGATTTCATCTTAAAGATCTTAAGATTTTGAACATTTTGTGTTCAACAATTGTTCAGAAATTCTTTTTCGTTTTTGAGATATTAGAAAAAGAAATTTTTAGGGGCCAACCCTTCAACTCCTTAATGGGGACGTTTAGCAAAAAATGAAAGGTTGCATATTGTTCAAAACATTATTTTGAACAACTTTTGTTCAATATTGCTTATCAAAATATTTCTCCCTTTCGAGAGATCAAGCATCAAAGATTTAGCATTCTGGCCCCTTGTGGCCCCTAATTATGTACCATACGACATGGAAATCATAATATATAGTTGTAGATGGTTGAGATGAACATCTTTGCTTCAGTAATGTATCACAAAATATTAACTGATAAAGAGTTATCGATTGAAGACTTTTGCCCCCTCTCGGCCCCTAATTCGAGTGTGCAGCCCCTTTTTCTGGATTTCATCTTAAAGATCTTAAGATTTTGAACATTTTGTGTTCAACAATTGTTCAGAAATTCTTTTTCGTTTTTGAGATATTAGAAAAAGAAATTTTTAGGGGCCAACCCTTCAACTCCTTAATGGGGACGTTAAGCAAAAAATGAAAGGTTGCATATTGTTTAGAACATTATTTTGAACAACTTTTTTTCAATATTGCTAATCAAAATATTTCTCCCTTTCGAGATATTAAGCATCAAAGATTTAGCATTCTGGCCCCTTGTGGCCCCTAATTATGTACCATACGACATGGAAATCATAATATATAGTTGTAAATGGTTGAGATGAACATCTTTGCTTCATTAATGTATAACAAAATATTGACTGTTAAATAGTTATCGAAAAAAGACTTTTAGCCCCTTTTGGCCCTTAATGTGATGAGTCAGCACTTTTTTAAAGAAATCATATGAAAGATCTTGTCATTCTGTACAAATATTGTTCAGTATGTTCTTACAAAATATTTATACTTTAAAAGATATGATGCAAAATGTCTCCAAAAATCACTCGTGATTCGTGTCCTAAATTTTGACCCCTACCGAGCTTCCATACTAGGTACTTCCGGAAACTATCCAAACTCCCAGTAACATGGGAACATGTCCTCTATCATCACTGAAAATTTCAGCGCTCTAGCTCAAGACGTTTCTGAGATCAATGACGGACAAGAAGGTCCGCTGAATTTTAATAAAAGGGCGATAACTCTAGACCGGAAGTGATTTTCGAAAAATCAAAAAAATGGTATAAACTTCAGATGATCCTACATCAACCCTGAAAATTTGAAGCAAATCGATCAAGCCATCTCTGAGAAATCTTCTGCACAAAATTTGTGCAGAGAAAAAGAATAATAATAATAATAATAAGAAGAAGAAAATTGAAAAAGAAACATAAGAATAATAGAAGGGTCTTCCGCTGAAGACGGAAGACCCTAATAATAATAGGGAAAAAGAAACCGAACGAAAACAATAAGGTCTTCCGTTGGAGACGGAAGACCTTAATAAGAAACAGAGTAAAAACAATATGTTCCCCAACTTCGTTTGGGGAACATAATCACTGACAGGTACACACTTTAAAGATTGTGTAAACACTTAGAACAGGTTTGTTCAGAGTCGAGTTTGATATATTTTGTATATTATATGTTTAAAGATTGAGTAAAAATGTCTTTATTGAACAACCCTGTTCTCTATGTTTTCTAATTAAAAGTACAGTAAAACTCGGTTATAACGAAGTCATTTGGACCTATGATATTACTTAATTCGTTATATCCGTAATACGTTATATCCGTACAAGAAATTAGTTAAATTTACATAGCTGGGGATCCAAGATACCTTCGCTATAACAATAAATATGCAATATCTGTATATGTATTGTGATTTTGAACCTATTTGATGTCTTCATTTACATGCTACATGCTACATGTATTAACCTCTCCATGACCTGCTTTGAATCATTTCAGGCCATGTGGATATGTGTCGTTACGGGCAAATGCCCGTAGTATAAACGTGCCTGCTACATGTAAATCTCAGTTGCATCGCAGTCAGTTTTATATCGTTCAGCGTGGACTTGTTTGATTAATCTTGATATAGTGTTGTGTTTCACTGCTCACGTTATGTACATGTAATTAAAAAATCGTATTTGTATTTGATTGTGAATCTTAAACATAAAATTTGTCTGTGAAAGGAAAACATGTTTCAAGACCTTTCTTTTTATAGATTTTATTCTAAATTCTCTGCCCATTTCCATGTAAAATAGAAATTGTAGTCTGATGGGGAAAAGTAGACTTGCTTAAGTTTCTACGTTTAATTGCTCTCTTTCATACTTTTTGATAATGTCAAACATATGGAGAGAGAGAGAGAGAGAGAGAGAGAGAGAGAGAGATTTCCTAAGATTTAAAATTTTAAAAAGTTTGTGATCTGATCTATAAGTCAAAATTAAAAACAAACAATACACAATTTTAAAGTCAATTAGGAGAGGACTATCTAGGTGACTGAACTTGTGTCCGATTATTTTGACTTTGTAAAAAAATATGTTCAATTTAATTCAAAGTGGACCTCTGATTGTAGAGATACATGAGGGTCATACTATGTACTTAAACCTTTAAGATGCCATTGCGTTAGTATTTAACTATCAACAAAATGAGTTTTAAAACAATTCATGAACATAAAATAACAGTTTTTACCATAAAAGAAGGATATGGAGATAATGAACAGTATTCAATATCAAAGTCCATAAAACAATACAAAATGGGAGCAGAGCAAATACGGACCCCCGAAATATCAGAGTTGGGTGACAAGAATATTTATACTTTTGCCTAATTCACATTTTTAATGTAAACAAGAATAACCCTGACATATGTATTTATTGATAGTACAACAACTGAGTATAGGGGCAAATCACCTAGTGGTAGGACTTTTAAAAACCTTAAATTCTCAGATTAAATAACAATTGCTAATAATGTTTATAGAAATTATAAATAACAAAGTTTACAATTTTTTTTATCTATAAAATTCATAAAAAAATATTCTCTGTGATTTTCTTTTTATTTTAAGAAGCTTTGGCTTTTCCAAGCCTAAAAGTCCTGTGATATTCGTAGTAACCCATAGCAAATGTCAAATTAACTGATTGTCAATTGTAAATCAATCACTTTTATTTGCACTTTAATCGTTTAGCATGAACATTTAGTATTCCATAAAAAAATTGAATTCCTTTCCACCAAGGACAGTCTCTTTGAAGTCTTACTAAATTTTGGAATCGTTACCTCAAACTCCTCGGATAATATTGTTTGCAGAACACCGACGAAAAAAGAAAGGTTCCGAACACAGTAGTAGGGGTGTAATATTCGAGCTTTGACCCTAGTTTATCGTTTATCTTTTTTCTTAAAATGTAGCATGACTAAATGTACTAAAGCTGATTATGTCAAATTTGACCAAAAATTACTTTGACACTAAGTGAAAAATAACCATCTTATTATTTTCTTTGATATGCATAATGAGATATTATATATTGTATTAGCAACTCTTCTACCGGTTATTATAATCAGTTTCTAATTTCAAAAAATCGTATTCTTTTCAAAATTATTGAGGAGGAGTTAATGCATACCTAATCAGTAAGTCATCAAGTTATAATTACGTAGGGTCGAGCTCGCATACTAAAATTCAAAATCGGAAAAAAAAGGAAGAGACAGAACGAAATATAGCAGGACAGAGAGATAACATATCTTGTAAAGAATTTACAAAATTATTATGATAATGGAATTTTGCTTAGCTTTGCACTTACTAGCTGTCTTAATTAAGCTTGTTTCTCAATTCGTTTAATCATTCAAAAATATGCATTACTTTTTAGTTGATCTGTGGCCGTTCATGTTGCTATTAAACCTATCCGAATTCTTCTATAATTAAAAAAAAATTAAGCAGTGATGAATTCTTATTGACAATGCAATGACATATTCAAGCACTTGTACATTGAAACAAAACATAATTAAGGTCATTTGTGGAACAAACTATTTGTAATACATAATGTATATCCATTCATGTCACTATACATGTATATGTGTATTTTTTAATAATGTATTTTTATTAAATTCATTGCAGAAATTATGGAAATGCATTTGACAAAGAAAAAATGGAGCATATTGATATCCACACTTATATCAGAGAAATATTCCGTTTGTGAAGATATTACGTACGAAAAAAGAAAAAATATTCAACAAACATTCAAAGCATTGCAAGAGGTTCAGGAGGAAAAAGCTGAAGAAGATTTAGTGTTCCTAAAGGAACTGGAACTTCGTGATGAATTGTTAACTCTGGATAAAGAGAACAATAAAGTGTCCTTTGTATCAGAAGAGGTCCGACATCAGGTGATGGGCTTCTTTGTTTTGAATTGCTTACAAAGTAAAGAGAATTACGAGGATTATCTAAATCTTTCCTCACTGGACTCGCTTATTGAATATGTGCGGCCGTTGGGATACACACGACAGAGTACAGAACGATGTATGTACCTACCTAAAGGAACGGAAGAGGTATTCGTAAGAAGATTTGGTATAGACGCCATATATAATGCAACACCGGGATTTTATCACTTAAAACACGCAATACTTTCAGAACGTGAGTTAATCATAGAATTAGACAAAAGTCATTTGATATTATATGTCTTATCAAAGCACTAATTGTATTGTCACAAGTGATATTTCCACTTAAAAAAAATGTTAAGTTGTTCAGTTGACTTTGAATGTAACAATACTTTTGGGAAATGAGGAAGGGTCATTTTAATTAGAATTCTTGAAACATTAGTATATATTGAAGTTGTGATATAAATTGTCTTGGAATATTTTATCATTTAATAAAAACATCGTTCGTGTAGTATTACCGTATAACGGATTATTTTTACTGCTGTAAATTTTTACATTTTAAATTTGGCTGAAATATAGTCATTTAAATTTTTACACGTAATTTTTTTACGAATTGAGCATGTCTGTTAAAATTAACACCATCAGTGGTGAAAATCCAGATCAATGTTTTAGCATTTGAACGCGTTTAAATACAAATACAAATAGGCTTAATACGTCTGGAAAACCCTATGCAAAACTCAACATTCAATTATTTCCGCGATTTAAACTATAATGTTTGTTCATTGAAATACCTTTATATATCATGCGCCCTTCTTTAGCTTCCTATTTTAAAAATTTAAAACACGATTTGCTAATTAAGTATCATTATAGATGTGCACCACCTGCTTGTCTTCATTTTACCGGAAATATAAAGAGAGACAACTCAGATTTAGGTATCTCTGCTATTTGTGGTTGAAAAATAAAGCAAAATATTGTGAATCACGTAATATATATACATGTAATCACTATGAATATTATATCAAATGGATGGTTCTTCATACATGACGTGGTTTACAAATGACATCCCAATAGTCCTACTGAATAGCCTTTCTATAGAAATAAAATTTTAGTCGCTTTAGTATACTCCGCTTTAGCTGTCATGTGAACGCATTTAATTATCTTAATTCGCATTAATGTACTGCGAATTAAACCCTCCGTGTGAACAGTGCATAATTTTAATAGTAACAATATTAATATTAATAGTTTATCAATGAAATAACTAGATCACAATACTAATTGAAAAAAGATATACAATTAAATATAACTTTGGGTCCACCCGGCCTTTTACATGTTCATGTATACTTGTAATAAGTGTAGTGTTAAATTTTATTAATTTTATTCACTTAACCTCCGATTGTCTGACCTGAGACAAACAGACTTTCCTTCTATGTATGATATATAACAAAAAAATGACTTACTGATTTTAGCACTCCTAAGGCTCCGGTGAGCTTATCTGATAAAACTTGACCATTACCTGGCGTTGTCATTGAAGTTAGCTGTAAACTGTTCCCATTTTCATCTTCTCCTGAATTTCTTGGCCAGTTTTAATCAAACTAGGCAGAGTATCCTTGGGTAAAGGGCTTTCAAGTTTGTTGACATGAAGGACCAGGTCTTCGTTCGTGGGGAAATAATTCAAAAATAGAGATAATTTAGTGACATGTTTAAAATTCTTCTCAAGAACCACAGGGACAGGAAAGACGAAACTTATAGAAAAACATCCTCAGGTTGTGTAGATTCAAGTTTGTTCAAATCATGAACCACGGAAGCAGGACGGGGTCTCAGGTTGCGATGAAAGTTTTACATGCCATTTTATAAGAAAAATCTTCTCAAAAACAACAAAGCCAGTGTTAGTCATGGAAGCATCCTCAGGTAATGAACATTCAGCTCTGAACTGATTTCGCTTTATTTCTAGCCACAGTGCTCAGGTGTGAGATGTTGTCCTTGTGCCTCTTTTTTTTGAAAAGGTCAACATTTTTTAATTAAAATTCAATGGCTTTCTTGAAAGAAAAGAAAAGAGTTTATTTCTGCAAATAGGGAAATAATGAGTAAATGATTGATTGTATGAACATACTTCATTCGAATTCGCAGGTACTTTTTTCACCTATAACCACTGTTGAAAAATTGGCGCCCACATTAGAATTGATGGAATTGATTTCTTAAATAACCATTTCCACAAATTTTGCTCTCCTTCATTCTTTTCTGAATTTACTACATACAAGGTTTTTTTCGCGCCGTGTTATTTTCGTCCTTTTGCACTTACAAACAATTTTTCCCCGTTTTAAATTCGCCCAGTCATAGTTTTGTTTAAGAAATTATGATGTGTAATTTGAATTCGCACCGTTTTAAATTCGCCCAAATCTAGAGGAAGGCGAAAGGGGCGAAAATAAAACGGGGCGAAAATTTCCCTGTATACAATAGTTATTGAGAAAACTAAGAGAGAATGAGGCATTTAAATTATTAGTTTCCCCATTCCATATCTCACCTTTTAATGGCTTTTAAGAGTTCTCTGGAACAACTTATTTTTAATATTTTTAGCTCAATTTACAGGTCACATGCATAAATAAAAGTCGGGTTTCAACAAACAAAGGACTTAAAATTAGAGGCAACTATAAAGGGAACATTTCTTCGAATCGCTTGTGTCAACCATTAATTACCAATTTTAGAAACTGACAGATGTGCTCAAGTTTTGTTTCATGTTTTGGTTGTTGTTGAAAGTCTCTCTCGAGATTTTTCGCTTATACATGTATGAAGACATCACCACAACCCGGTGGATAGATGGAATTCTAATTATACTAATTACTTAGGGTCATTGATCATTGGGGGATCTTTGACGTGTCAGTTCCTACTGCGACACGGGACCTTGGTTTATAGGTTCTCATTTAGAAGACATGTCTCCACATCTCAAAGTTAGATTCAAACCGTTAATATAAACTTATTGCTTATTAAGGTCTTCCGTTTCCAACGGAAGACCTTCTACTGATTCTGTTGGTAAAGATTATTATTCTTTTTTTTTCTTCTGCTTCCTAGACCGCAACTTTGAGGCCTCATATCTCACTTATTTCTCAACGGATTTCGATCAAATTTTCAGATATTATAGACGTTTATAAACTCTATCAGAATGCTGATTAAAATTTTGATAAAGTCACTTCCGGTTTTGAGTTATTTCCATTTAAACGAAAATTTATAGGGTTTCGTTTCCAGACAAAAGCTCAGAGACGGCTAAAGCTGGAGCAGAAATTCTACTGATTTTAGATAAAAGAAGGATTGAAGTTATGCACATCGGTTCTTGTTTTTCGATTTCTCAATTCAAAATGGCGCTATATAAGGATCAAAAATTAGAACGCTTAAAAGAACCAAAAATTACTCATATTTTGCTTTTTATCTTCAAAACTAAAAATATTTTGCTAAAATATATGGAACATAATTTGTGCAGAATGAGTAGATCTCTCAAAAAGGGCTGACCCCTAAATTAAGGGATCTAGGGGGGCCAAAAGTTTTTTCCAGATATCTCAATAAGTATTGATAATTTTTTATACATCAAAGAAGCAAAGTTGTTAAAAATGTCAAGTTTAATCTAATGGGGTCGTCAAAATACGTCCAGCGTCGTTACTTCTGGCCAAACCGGAAGTAGTCGGAAAACCGCGTATTTTTGCCGTTTTTGACAAGTTTTTGGGTAACATATGTCTCTGGGAGCTTAAAAATTCATTTTCCGTGCGTCGTTGTCACTTCCGGTCAAACAGGACGTAACAAAACATGGCTAATTTTTGCATTAATTAACATAGCTTTAGAGGATTTAAAGCATTTTTGGGCGTTATTTCTCATTTTTGTTAAAAGTGAAAGCTACTTCCGGTCAAATAGAACGGAAAAACTACTCGTTACTTTGCAACGAGCTTTGCTCTAGTTCTTTTTTTTTTCCTTTTCCTAGACGCCAAATTTGAGGCCTCATATCTCACTCATTTCTTAACAAATTTTGCTCAAATTTTTAGACATTATAGACGTTTATAAACTCTATCAGAATGCTGATTAAAATTTTAATAAAGTCACTTCCGGTTTTGAGTTATTTCCCTTTAAACGAAAATTTATAGGCTTTCTTTCCACATAAATGCTCGGAGACCACAAAAGCTGGGGCAGAAATTCTACTGATTTTAATTTTAGATAACAGAGGGATTGAAGGGGTCAAAAATTAGAACGCCTAAGAGAACGAAATTGTACACATATTTTTCTTTTTATCTTGAAAACTAATAAAAATTGGTTAAGACGTTGAATAAAAGTTGTGCATGATTGCAAGAACTTTCATTTTAAAACATTTAAAAGGAAAATTAAAATGAAAATAAGGGATAATTTAAAATTAGGGATCTAGGGACCTCGAAAATTTTTCCATTATATCTCAAAAAGTATTGATAATTTGTAATACATAACAGAAACAAAGTTGTACAAAATGTCAAGATTTATCTTATGATGTCGTCAAAATACGTCCGGCGACGTAATAATTGCGTAATTTTGCCGTTCTTCACATGTTTTTGGGTAAGATATGCCACTGGAAGCTTAAATCTTAATTTTTCGTCCGTTGACTTCACTTCTAGTCAAACCGGAAGTAGACAAAAATGGCTTATTATTGCAATAATTAACATATAGATTTGGAGGATTAAACCAAATTTGGACTTCATTTTTTTTTTAAATGAAAGTCACTTCCGTTCAAACAGGACGGAAGACTTACTCATTGGTTTGCAACGAGCTCGGCTCTGGTTTTTTAATTTTTTTAATTTTGAGCAAAAAATATGACCAATGAAGTTCTATCGATATATACGTTAATGAGTAAATTCTGCTACATAAGAATACAAAAATATACCTTCTTATAATAGACCACAACTTGTACCTATTGAAAATCCAACAGATTGTTGGAAAACCCGTTAAACGAGATAAAACCCTCTTAAACTTGGTTATCAATTTCTTTTCTTTAATTAAAAATTTGAATATAGATTATCCGGTAATTTTGTTGTGACAAAATTGTTCTAAACAATAGTGAAAAAATGAATCAATTTAGCAAAAATGTGACATATGTATGCCATTTAGGCTGTGACAAACCTAGGAAAAGCAAAAGAAAAAATTATATATGTTTAATTTTCTAAATAATAATAATTACGTGACAACATATAAATTATTTGACATATATTTTTGAAAGAATTGGTTGAAATATTTATTTTTACAGTAAAATTACCGCCTGCTGTATTAAAGATGAGTAAAGGAACAAGGAACAAGTTTTGTAATTTCGTCAAGGGATTTGATGAGGAACATGAACATCATTATTTGAATCGAAGCAGTCTTTTAGGATCATTTTTAATTGAATTAAATACGTCTCAAAAGAGAGGTGAGTTTTAACTCTATTAGAAATACAATACTGGAAAAGCAGACAAACAGAATGTACATGTATGTTGTTGTGCCAAACATTAAGACATGTAGTGGATATATTTAAGTCTTATAAAATAGTTATATTATAATAAAGAAAATTTTAAAAATGATTTTTTTTATCCTTATTAAGGACATGCGCAACGTACCTTACCTACTGATAATTTTCCAAGATATTATAAATTTAAACTTATAATAGCATTACATGTACATGTTCTTAGACAAAACTAGAGGTACTGTGAGCAATGAGCTCACTAAATAATACCCCCGCCTCCCATAATGTCCATATGTTGCTATATATTGTTTTACGGTAATGTGTAAAGAGGAATAACTCGTCCTATCAAATTTTATCTAGAAGCTTCTATATGTTAATTCATAGGTAAACATATAATGGCAATGTCATGTTTTGCTATGGAAAACTTAAAATACGTGTCGAATAAAAAAGTAAAATAGGAGGTGCTCAATGGCAATATGTAATAAAGATTCTGTGAAAGTGTCATTAAATTTCACTCAGTAGTTTAAGAGGAGTTGCGGAAAAAAGAAAAAGCGTAAAAGACGGACGGACGGACATCTACTTTATAATATACCCTCCCACTTTTCAAGCGAGGGGTATAAAAAATCAGCATGCGTTACCAGGGGTTTTGAAAAGATATCGAATTTTGAAATTTTTTGCATTATGCAAATTAAAATGTACAAAAATTATAAAACATGAAATTTAGATTTTTTTTCATCAAAAATTGTTTTAGAAGAAGTGTACAAATCGATTGATAGACATTAAAAATATTGCACAAGGTCCTTTATTTAGTGGAACTCTTCAACTCCAGGGAAGAATCCAAAAAAGTTCAAACTACGTTGCGTATGCCCTTAAAACTCAAAGAAAATAATAGAAGAATAAAATATATTGCTCTAACCATAAATTATAAAGGTCACTCGAGGGACCTACATGTATTGGTCTCTGCTTTCCTTCCAAGGATGAGTTTTCAGTAATGTGAGATCTAAATATGATGATGACATTTTGGCAGATGACATTTAAGAGTATAAAGAAAGAATGCGGATCAAATTGTCTCATTAAACTAAAAAGCTTAGGATTAGAACAAATACATTATTCTAAATACACCTTCTTTTTATCGTTACAAGAGTTAAGCCTTTTTCCCAAATTGTGAATTGCATCGCAATAAATTAAGCTTTCGTGTATCATGGCGGAGCTCTATAATCATGTAGTAGAAATACAAGATTTTATTGTTTACTTAAAATATTGTCAACGTTACCCTCTTATCATGATTAACTGTAAAACTAAGTGCAAGGACCTAATTATAAATAGCGCCACCTAAAAAGTTTTAAAAAGCAAGAATATACTTCCCCGTGGTCAGAACAGGTACATCCCGTATTAGAACGGATTGTACATGTATTTTTCATATACTAGTAGTATAAAAGTATTTAAAAAATCTTCTCCGCTCAACTGTATTTAGAATACATGTTTACTTAAATTGTTATGCTAGCAAGAATCTCTACCGAAATTGTAAAATTCATAACATATGCTAAGAAATTCTGAAATAATTAAGGGTTCTTTTAAAGTAAAAAATCATTAATTCTTTGAAAATCCTCTTCTCTACTTCTTGATAGTCAGAAGACATACATTTACAAATATGATGAACGAAGCACTAAGTTCTCATTTAATATTATAATATTAATTGCCCCTGCGCAGCTAGGTGAAAGACTCTAATATTTACTTTAAAATTAGCAGAGAGTTCGATTTAACAATGATATAAGCTATTAATCTATAGATTTGAATACGTATGAATGAATATAAATGTCCTTTTTCACAACCATGACACTGAAATACTACATCATATCCTTTCTCTGTAACATAAAATTACTTTAATTACTTTTCGCTAAAATTACAAACTGACACTTATGGAAATATCGCCTAATTTGTATCTGGTTAAAAATTCCAAGTATACGGTGTTTCATACGATTTTTTTTCAATGAAAACGAACTTATAATTTATTTGCAGTTTTAAAGGATTATGAAGAGTTTATAATTTGCTTTTAATTGATACATGTTATCTCAGGTCATATTAAAGCATTTATGTAAATTCCCTCTCCCGACTGGCTATATGTGAAATGGTTTGGATAAAAAATTTTCCAACCTCCAGTAGAAAAGAAACTTTTTTATATTATATTATTTATCAGTTTTCCCATTACGTCAACATGAATATCGACAATTTATGGAAAATATTTCCAAATCTACCCGTCGACCTAATTTTAATTTACCCTGAGTTGGGAGAGGGCAAGCAAACATTATTGTAGGCCTTTCAACTAATTTCTCAAGTTGCACACATGGTCAAAACATTGCATAGATAGATTTATAGGTACTTGAAATAATCAAAAAAAAAGATAATAACTTATGCATACTTTTAATTACATCATTAAAAAGTTTAATCATTTATAATTTACTTTTCTAATGTTGTGTTTTAAGGACAGGTAACTCAGGTGTGAAAAATGACCAACTTAGTGCAGATTTATGAGTTATCGTTTATAGGAATGACGTATAGGCTGCTTCAGCATTGGTATTGTTATGTACACAAAAGGGTTTCTTACATTGTTGTTTTGTACAAAAAAGTTTTGACTTTGAGAAAAAGAATGTCTTCACTCTACCTGAATTAATAACAAGGTCAAATGAATGGGTAACTGACTATATTCAATATTTTTAACTCTCTTTGACGATTATTATGAAGAAGAAAATTTAATGTAATTTTTTGTGTTCGCGCTTTTTCGCTTCAATTTATATAATATAATAGCAAGAATTCATTGCGGCATTGAAAATTCCGGAAAAATTCTCTTATAACAATAGACTAACAGAGATGGTATAAATGAATATATTTTACAAGTAAATGCAACAATTGATCATCTTATTTGTGTTACTTAGCACAAAGGGGAACGGCTGAGTATTAAATTTTAATTAGGTTAGAACTAAGAAGGAGGGTGGATTTCACTCTTTTATTTGAATCAAAAAAATTTAATTACATGCAGTTAAACGATGCCCGCAACTATACATTTCACATTGGTGTTAAATTTAAATACCACTGGATTCTACTGAAAGCAAAGAAACACGTGGGAAATGCTAAAAGCTGCCTTGCAAGTAAACAGTTAGATATCCGAGCCTGCTCTAAACAAGTTTCAGCAGTGAGTTATCGTTCATAACACCGACCTGCATCGTCAGTTGAAAGGCCTAATTATGTTCCCTAAACGGAGTTTGGGAACATATTGTTTTTACTCTGTTTCTTATTATTATGTTCCCCAAACGAAGTTGGGGACCATATTGTTTTACTCTGTTTCTTATTATGTTCCCCAAACGAAGTTGGGGGACATATTGTTTTTACTCTGTTTCTTATTAAGATCTTTCGTCTTCAGTTTCTTTTTCACTTTTATTAGGGTCTTTCGTCTTCAGCGGAAGACCCTTCTATTATTCTTATGTTTCTTTTTTACCTTTAATCTTAGGGTCTTCCGTCTCCAACGGAAGACCCTTCTATTATTCTGTTGTTTCTTTTTCACTTTTATTTAGGTCTTCCGTCTTCACGGAAGACCTTATAGTGATTCTACTGTTTCTTATTATTATTATTAAGGTCTTCCGTCTTCACGGAAGACCTTATAGTGATTCTACTGTTTCTTATTATTATTAAGGTCTTCCGTTTCCAACGGAAGACCTTATTGTTTTCGTTCGGTTTCTTTTTCCCTATTATTATTATTATTATTTTTTCTTACCGATTTTTGTGCAAGCGAATTCTCGAAAACGGCTCAGCCGATTTTCACGAAACTTTCAGATCTTATAGATATTGGTCTGAACCTTATTGGAAATTTTTTATATGTACGTCGTCACTTCCGGTCGTTAGATATGGACGATTTTCTGATTCTTAGAGGGTCAGCTTGTCCGGGCAATCACTAAAAAACGAATGAAGATATTGACTTGAGATTTTCAGTAAAGGTAGAGGAAGGATTGCTGAATTGCTTTTTTGAGTTTATATCTTTCCAGAGCATAAAGCGTTGTAGCTTGTCTGAGCTCGTTTTTATTGTTATTTTTCTGACCATCTAATTTTGTGTACGCGATTTCTCAAAGACTACTGGATGGATTTTCATGAAATTTGCAGGAACAATGTGTTGTTATCTGAAGTTATTTTATCCGAGAGATTTTTTGGAAATTCCTTTCTGGTGCCAAGTTACGGACAGTTTTCTGATTTTAAAATGACATTTTGTTCGCGGATAATCTCAATAACGGTAAAAGATATCACTGTGAAACTTTCAGGGATTATAGATCGTGATAAGTACTATCCAAGACGCGATCTTTTGTACGTCGTCTCTACTTCCTGTCGTAACGGCATGCAAAGAAAAAAGTCAAATTTTTAAAAATTTTTTGTTTTTCAATATTTTCAAATGATATTAGTATGGTTGATAGAAACATTTATTATTAGGCTGAATATATAATTTGTTTGTAAATTGCTGAATTCGAACGCGAGATATTAACATTCAAAAGTCTGAAGCGGGACCATAATGGCGGCGATCTCTGTCAATTCCGACATTTCGCAATAGGGGTTTACAGAGGCAGCCGAGCGTTTGCTTGAACGAAAGTTACATAAGGAGCAATGAAATGTGTAGGGATACTTGGATTGTCACGTCGTAGGTTCGTTGCAGTTCTATGTCAAACTACATTTATAATCCAAGGTATCCTTACAAGTCTTTTTGATTTGGTTTTGGTTGTTTCTCAAAGTAGAAATAGAAAAGAATTAATGTTCAAATTAAGTACAATATCTACTAATTTTTGTTTTGCATCACGGAAACACATAGCTTAAATCATAGTTATAATAAATATTTTAAAAACAATATTTATAGTAAGTACAAAACGTGACCAATGTTTTCCAATGCACACTTGTGTCATATTTGAAGCTCGCCTGGGCTCGAAAAATAG